GTGTCTTGACCTTGCATTTCAGATGCTGACAACTTTCATGTGAAACCATCTTTACAAACACAATAAACTCGATTTTTGTCATTTCTCTTGAATATTAGCTTACTTGATTGTACACCACATAATTCCTCACAGCAGATTTTAATTTTTCAAACGAATCAAATAGTAGCCCTATCTCGATATATGGTTTCCTCTTTTCATATTTATTATAGTATTCAAGGAATTTCAGTTTATCGTTGATCTCTTCCGAGTCCGAACTACTGAGAAAGAATAGCTCATTCGAAGATATATATGAAGAACTATCTACAAAAATTGTTACTCAAATAGGGAAAAAAGGCTTAATTGACAATCTGTGATTGAGTGTTTTTGTGTTGTTTTTTTTTTTTTTTTTCCAATTTCCAATGAAAAGCTGCTCTGTGTTATCTAAAAAAAAATTTTTGTCATTGAGTTGGGCTATGTATAGGGGTGGGCATGGGTTGGGTTGAGTCGATTTTTTCCCCAACTCAAATCCAACCCAACATGGTCGGTTTTATTTAAAGTCAACCCAACCTAACCCAATTAATGGTTTAAACCCAACCCAATCCGATTAAATTTGGGTTGGTTTGGGTTGGGTTGGTCGGTTTGGGCTTCGGTCCAATTAAAGTTGGATTCGATTATATTTTTGTTAAATTTAGATAAATTTTTAAAGTTTGAAATTATTTGAAAATCGCCGATTTTTTTTTAAAATACCTATTTAAGGAATTCTTTTAGAAAAATGATGTATACATAAGTTTAAAATTTATGAAGTATTTATTATTATTTTTTACAATTTTTTGGGATTTATTCATTTCATCATCATCTTCTTAATTTTTACTTTATTATGAAATAATATTTCATTTGTAAATTGTGTTTATCGGAATCAATCTATATAAAATAAAATGGATGTTTATAAAATATAAGTCCTTTTCATATCTTTACTATTGTGTTTGTTTAGGTTTTTTTTTTTTTTTTTCATCTTAGATATTATTTTTTTAAATTCATCGGGTTGGGTTGGGTTGGGTTGGGTTTCGGGTTATGATTCATAACCCGAAACCCAACCCAACCCAACCTCAAATTTATTTTTTTAACCCAACCCAACCCAACCCAACCCAATTGAACTTAAATTCATAACCCGAAACCCAACCCAACCCAACCCAACTGAACTTAAAAAACCAACCCAGACCGATCGGGTTGGGTTAAATTTTGCCCAGCTCTAGCTATGTAGCATTATTGAACTATCTAATTCAAGGACATCCTTGTCCTACATCACAAAATGCATATAATTTCAATAGCTTCGATTACATTATGAAAAAAAAGGATATTGTCATCATAATATACATAGTTTAAGTCGTTGAAGTCTGAATCATTGTCTATCTAAGCATCTGCAATTTTTATTCAATTCATTATCTAAAACAACGTGACATCGTTTGGGTAGGGATAGGGTCAATGATCAGCTAAGTTTAGTGCAAGATAATGGGTATAGATTAGAGCCTTTAAAACGTAGAGTATGTTGTCTGTTGATTGTTGTTCAATTTAAGACATTCTAGTATAATTCAAAACTTTTAGGGACACTCATGCTGGAGAAAAAATTGAAAATTCTTATGGGTTAGAATAAGTGTAGACAGGCTGTGATTTAAGGTTTTTGAAAGGGAAACGAGTTTGAGAGATCCAAATGAAATAGGAAGAACCCATTTATCGATCTAGGGGAGGAAACAATGAATTTAGGGGAGCAGACTTGGTGTTTTGGGAGAGGATTCTAGGTTATGATCGGAGGTGATTTTGATCCTGTTTTCATGTTTGAGAATGTTTGAGAGAGAGAGAGAGAGAGAGAGAAGATAACTATCTTGTTTTGTATTTTTCTAAGCAGAACTGATTTCTTGATCACTATGGACAAGAGACATGTTCTCGATAGAGTGGAAGCTTCAATTTTATGTTTTTAAAATTGAAATAAGATTTCTACCACTTAATCGATAACCATTTTGCCTACCTGTGATGTTACCACGTCACCAATATTTTAGACCCAAGCGAAACACGTTTCCACATCTCCGTGTTATTACATTGCCGGTGAGTAATTAGGAGATTAGTTGCTTTATTTTTTTTTTAAGTCGTAACAAATGTGTTTTTAAAATACACTCACTCCATGTCTTCAACAATTTAATGATTTGACATCCACTAATTACAATATCATGCCGCATGAGTGATTACGTTTGTCACAATATCAATTTCATCACTTTTTTTTTTTGATACCCAGGTGTCCACCTTATAGCAACTAATCCTGAAATTTACGATCCAGCCCCTCTTCATGTAGACCAGGTAAATCGTGAGTTGTGCCCCAAACAAGCCAGGGTCCAAGAGCCCCCCAACTGAACTGTCAAAGTGCCTAGCGAGTCAAACTCATGTATTCGCATTGCCTTCCAAGGAACTCCTACCTTCCAAAAAATATCCTGCCTTCCAGGAGAAAGCTTTGACTTCCAAGAGCCCCATGAATCGAACCTGCGACCTCTGAACTATCCGCTTTGAAGAATTTCGTCTTTTGCCAGTTGGGATATGCCCCGGGGGGCATTTCATCACTTTTTTTGAACATTTGTTGAGTGAGTTATGAATGAAATTACATATTACAAATTTCAGTGTGTAACAAAAAAAAACTTTTAAAATTTAATGATAAACTGTACAAAGTTCGATGATAAATCAAAATTTTAGTTCGATAATGGCACAACAGATTCCTTTGGTTACTCAATTCTCATTTTAGCAAGAGTAGCTGAATTCAATATTTCAAAATATGAAATAACTCAATTCAGTTGTTTGTAAACTCCTATAAATAGATATCAATCTATATGATATTAAATATTACTTCAAATGAGAATTACTTTTTGAATGACACATAATTCAATTATTTCAATAATACATTACTTTTCGTTTTTCACTATGTATTTAATTTATTTAACCAATTAATTGACATTAATGTACATATATATTTGACATGTTCATTTCACCTGTGTATTTTCATTAATGTATAAATTCCATATTATTTATTTCAATTAATTAACATTTACATTTGTTTAATTAATATTCATCTTCATTTGTACATTTTAGTGTTATTAATTATAATTATAAGTTAATTAGAATTTCAATTCAAGAATGCATTTGATTATTCACGTCAATGTATGCTAACCAAATTTACTTAATTGGAAATTAAAAAAATGATTTAACATTCATTGTTGCATATATATTTTTTAATATTAATTTTAAATTAATTAATATTCACATATATTTAAATATTACTTTTGCAACAATTATAAAACATTTTATGATAATGAGCTATACAAGTTCAACGTTGACTTCAAGCTATGTGTGATAACTCGTATGCTGAATTTAAGGCCTTTGTAAGTTGTATGCTCACTTTTATGTTCTTACACTGCAGACACTGACGACATGGTACTTGCGCCAAATTCATATTTTATTTTGAAGAGCGTTTTAAAAATGTTTGGGAGTGATTTAATTATTATTTAGCATTTACGTTACCGAAAAAGAATAAAATAAACATAGTTCTTAACTTTGGATTTATTGTCAAAACTTGAGTCACAAACTTCCAATAGCGATCAAATTAGCCCTGATGAGATGGGACTTTTTCATTTTCCTTTAAATTTCTTAAGTGAAGGAAAGGACCATTTACATATCAAGAAGTGACTAAGAAAACAAAGCAAAAACAAAAGAAAAGAAAAGAAAAGAAAATAATAGAGGAAAGACGTGCAACCCAAAACTAATTTTTTTTTTCGGTTTCAAATTTTCAGCCCAAATATAGTGTTTGTTTGGTAGGGATTTTGATAAATGATTTTTTGACCGTTAGAGAGAATGTGGGTCATACATGTAAGAGAAAAATTCAAAAATGACGACTGAAATAATGAAATAACGATCAAAAAATTAATTTTAATTGACTTTTAAGTCATACTAAACAAACTCATAATCCATTTTCCAACCGTTGGTGGATTGGTGGACTGCCTGTCACCATTGTTGACTTTGTCTCTCAAACTGAGCCCCACATGCTGGCATAAAACGGTCAAAAAAATCTATTATTTCTTCAGAGAATTGGAGACAAACATGGACTAAATATGAAAAATAGAAGACTTTGGACCGTGCATTACTTTGCTTTATTCCTAATTTGTACAATATATGAAGCTCGAAAACGAACTAGAGTGACATGTCCGCATCCGATTACAGTCATTTTTTTCATTTTACAAGACATACCAGTTGCTGGCTTTCCTGCTAAGAAGCATTTTCTTTATGCTTTTGAAGATGATGATACCTCCATTGATTTTATGATTGTTCCTATAATAATTAAATCTACTTTTTCTATGTGCACAAGATAGCAAAAAAGAGTAAAAAAATAGTAACAAAAATAATACCAAGGACCATAAAGAGAAAGAAAAGAATTTGACAGTGGGTGGCTCAAAAGTGCTTGAAAAAAAATAAATCAATCATAGGTATCCCTCAATTATGTATTAAAGAGAGATTGATTTTCTCATCATTGCCACATTTTCCTTCTCTTTGCGGAATTATGGGAACAATAATATAATAAACATAAAATTAACAATAAAATAATTACAAGAATCTAATAAGTAATTATCAACAATTATACTTCTACCGATGTAATCTTCTGAAAGAATTGCGAATGTTTATAAACTATGGACATCCAAAAGAAAATGCATCGAATAATTGATTTGAACTCAGAAACGGATCCTTGGGTTATCCAACTAACAGATCGAAATCCGAAAGGTTCATAAACCAAATCTGCAAATTCAGTAATTGAAGGGGACATTCAGAATGAGTAGAAGATTATTATAACTCAATCAATCAACAAAAATTCAGAACAATTTGTATCCATCATCATTATGCCCCCAGACTCCTATTAATCAATAAAATCATAATAAAAAGTTGAATTTGATTTCGTGTTCCTCTCAGACAAATGCCTCATCGTCATGATTTTAGAAAGAATGGATAATCAGACTCGTCATCATAATTTGCTCATCACCGAGAAACAGAAAAAATTAAAAAACAAATTCGATGAAGTAATAATTGAAAATGGATTAGAGAGAGGGAGAGAGAAAGAATTAACAGAATAATACCTGAAATCCAAGTCACAGGTATTATGATTATGACGAAATGGTGAAGATTGAGAGGCGTGGCAGCGGAACTTATAATTGCTGAACGAGGATGGAAGCAGCTTTAGGGTTTTAGCTAGGGTTGGTGGTTTTCTGCAACGAGCCACTCCAATCTGGACTGGTTATAAGCTCACCAAAAACAAATTGGGCCTTTTCATTTTCAAACTGGATTGCTCTATTAGGCCTGAGCGAGGCCGAGCCTGGGACTGGCCGGAGTCAGCATGTACCACTGGATCCACATACATTTTTAAAGTGAAAATTGCAGCAGCGATCCCTAACTTTTTCATTTTTTATAAACTTTATCCTAATATTTATTTTATGCTATTGAAGGTCCCTAATCTTTTATAAATATACACCTGAGGTCCATCTGGACGAAAACCCACCAAAACACTGTAAGTTGATCGGGAAAATTCTTTAAACTATCTACTACTACAATGATTTTATTAGATGTTGATACATTTTTGGAAGGTATTTTGGACGATTTTATTGAATGTTGATTCCTTAATTTTTCTGGTTTACTGACGGTGTTTTGGACAATTCCATCCAGATGGACCTCAAGTGCATATTTTATAAAGGTTGGGGACCTTCGTTGACACAAAATGCAAGTTAGAGTAAAGTCTGCAAAAATGAAAAGGTTAGGGACCGCTTTTGCAATTTTTCTTTTTCAAAAAAGAAAAATTTTCATATATAAAAGTTTAACTATGATCTATTTCAAAATTAAGAAATAAGATTTAAAACTTTAAAAATCAGATATTATTAAATTTCATTTACAAAGGAGTTCATTAAAAATATATTTTATAAATAAATATATTAAAGTCACAATTTTATATAATTTGGTCACAAATTATCGAATTAATTAGTTACATTATTAGTTACAAATTAATTCTCGATTACAAATCAAAATTTTGTAGGTTACAAATTATATTTAGAACACAAATTAAAAGTTTATAGGTCATAATTTATTTTTCAATCACAAAGTCAAAAGTTTTATAGGTCACAAATCACAAATTTTACAAATCACAACTTATTTGACGATCATCACTTATCAAATTAATTTGTCTCAAATTATTTCTCGATCACAACTTACTTAATAAATTGTAAGTCATAATTATATTTTTTAGGTCAAATATTATTTATTAGTCACAATCAATCAATTTGTTGGTCACAAACACTTTTTGTGTCACACTATTGTCAGTCGCCACCACCAATACCACGACACGATGACACCGCCACAACCAACAAGCATCCTCCACACTACCATTTGCAATACACAGTACTAAAGTAAACCTAACTACCAACAACACCACCTCACAATCATCACCAACATCACTCCGTCACCACCATAAAAAACACTCACTATCATCGTCAATACCAAAATCGCCACCATTTGCAATACAAATTATTAATGAAATCAAACCAAACTGAGTAACGAGAACTTATGCTTTCAAATCGCTGCAGCCACCATGGTCATATCACTTAGATCATTAACAAGAACTAACGATTTCAAATAAACTACCATAGCCATGTCGTTGAGAGTAGTGCCGCACAGCAGGCAATTTGAAAGCACTGTTGTGTGCAGAGCTCAAATTAGTGCCACAGCAACGTGGCTTCTATACGGTGATGCGAGAAGAGAGAGAGAGACACAGTGACATAGCGTGCTTCTCGATGATGGTGTGGTGAAAGAAGGACAGGAGATCGAGGGAAAGAGAGAGATGAGAGATTGATGGTGGTGCGGTTGCATCGCCTGCGTCGCGTCGTGCTTGGTCCCTCAACGCTGACTAGAGGGTGGATATATGTAAAATAATATTTATAATAATATATTAATTTTTAGAATTTTAATTATATATGACTTTTGAAAGAAAAACTAGTAACTCTTAATTATGAGTTAATATCTTGAAAACACTCAATCCATGTAATTACCACTTTTAAAAATAAAAAAGGCCCAGTGGTCAAGTTTGATTAAGCCTGGTTGTGGTCGGACTCAGCATGTAAAGTGCAGTCAGAAATGACTATGGATAGAGGCGATATTATTCAGTGAATGAATTTGATTGATTAGGTATTTACAACTTGAGCCTAGCACTAGATGGGCCTTGCAAACTTGTACTTGTTGGAAAGCAGTGATTGATTTAGGTTGAATAAATTTTTTAAAAATAAAAATTTTAAAAAAATGATATTCGATTTCAGAGTAGATTATCCACAGTTTCGAGTGAAGAATAAGAACCAACCTGGACTCGATCAATTTTTGGTTCTCAATTTTGGTTCGAAAATTATTTTTTTGAAATGCGGTCGTAGGTTTAGGCTGACTAAATTTTAAAAAATAAAAATTTATAAAAATGGTTAATTCAATTTTAGAGTCGAGTACTTATGGTTTCAATTCAAAAACCAAGAATCAACCAAGACTAGTTGATTTTTGGTTCTCAATTTCGATTCTTAAATTATTTTTTGAAACCCGAAACTGGAATCTCGATTTTGGCTTTGAAAGTTTGATTCCAGTTAAAATGTCCATTCCTAAACTCGATCAACCAAAAAAATTGCGGGGTGTGAGGGCTGTTTTTACATCTAGAGGTGGGCATTTTTTCTTCAAAATCACACAAAACGAACTAGATCCAAACAAAATTGCTGGTTCAATTCAATTTCAACTAAAATTTACCTAGTTCTCTGGTTCTTAGAACTATGAACAAGATAGTTCTTGGTCTCAATTAACCTATTTGTACATATAACAGAATTGTCTTAGTTTTAGGTGCAGTAATTATCCGTACTAATAATTAACTACTTAATTGTTTTTAATTATCATTTGTCACTAATTATTGATAATGAAATGTTTAAATAGTGCATTTAACCAAACTAGAACCAAGAGAGCAATGTTTTATAAGCGAATTTTAGCCCATATTTGGTAGAGATTTTCTAATGATAAATTTTGTGAAAAGTGAGAAAAGTGTAAAATATAATATTTTTCCTCTTAATTATTGCATTCATGTGATTATTTGATATCAAAATGCACACATTATACTTATATTTTGATTTATGTTGCTTTTTGGTAGAAAAGATGGAAGATAGAAGAAAAGAGCGAAAAAAGACCAAAGTGGAAGGAAATGAAAGTTCGAGGACTAAAGTGCAAATACTCCAAACTTGTGTCTAACCTTGTGATGAAGATTCGAAAGTGTTAGAGGTCAAGTGATGAGAAAGGAGGTCAAAGGGATGAAATATCGTCAAAATTTGATCACACATCAATTCCTAATAAAAAAAAAGTTACGCACAGTTTTCAGTCTCATATTGGGATTCATTTTTGAAATGTCAAACGATTGAATTGGAAGATGACATTTGAAAAAAAGTTTTAGCCCTTTGAGTTACTTTTCAACGCAACTTGAATCACTTCAATCGAACATCGGGAGGAAAAGTTATGGCCAAAAATACTAAACGTTGTCCAGCAAAAAAAATAGCAATAATCATGCGGTCGCACAAACACCTATAGGGAATTCAGAGGTGCATTTTCATTAATGTTTAACCGTTGAACACAAAGTAGTGACAAGAGATGTAAAAATAAAGCTATAATGGACACTAATACTAAGTCTTTATTTGGTCTCCATTTTTCCAAAATTTCATTTTGAAAAAACTTATTTTCAACCACATTTTATCATAAAATAATTTTATGTGGAAACACAATTTTTTCTTATCTTTTTAACTACATATTCTTCAAAAAAATTATTATTTCAAGATACATTTTCCTCAAAAATAGCACTCAAACAAGGGTAAATGTTGTGAATTTTTAACCTCACATGATTTAAAAAAATACCTTTTAAGGCCTGCCTCAAAATGAGGGGAACAAGAAACCCACAAGGCATTGACTGTGAGGCAGTTTTTGAGGTGCGTGCCTCAATTAAATGAGGCACATGCCTCATAGCACTACCTCAAGGCTTGTGAGGTACTCCTTGAATTTCCAGATTTATTTAGAGCCTATTTAGTTTGGATTAAAATTTAATTTTAATTTAAATTAAAGTCAATTAATATTAATTACATCTTTTATGGGTCCCATAATTTTTTAACTACACATTTCAAAAACTCGTATCACAATTTACCAAAAAATTTAATTTTAATCACCATTGAACATCCTCTTGCTTTAGCCCCTGTTTGGTCCCTATTAATTTTTATTTCATTATATTTCATTTGTCTCTCTTCTATTTTTAACCACACAATCTTTTATAAAATAATATTACATGTAAATAAAAAAAAATTCTTCTTTTTTAATCACTCATTTAAAAAAAAAAAAAACTCTATTCCACACATTTTCATTCGACAAAATAAGGGTCAAATGGGGGCTTAATTGAGGTGTCGGCCCACAAAATATGAAAAGGTCTGATGACCAACTTTTGAATAGTCCTTTGTCCCACAAACTAAAAAGTAATAGTTTCTTTTTTATTACTTTATACATTGATTTCTTATTTTATTTTATTATTATTCTTTTTTTTGGCACACTTAAATTTGTTCTGTTATGAATTTTGAACATTGTTTATGATTTATTATGCGCTTTTTTAACAATGCAAAGACAGTAGGATGAATTTTACCAGGGAAATGTTGGGGGAAGAAAAGCCTTAATACAACTACAATGATAGCAATCCATTTTCCAACTTCTCCTCTATACCACAATGCTAAGTGCTAAATCAGACAGATGATTTTGCTCAAGAAAAGATTAGTCGAAGAGAGGCTGTCACCTTAAAATGTTGAAGAATACGGAAGGAGAACTAAAGAAAATATAAGGAATTAGGAGCGTAGTCAGCATGTTTGTTTTCCAGTTTGTCCGGTCCAAGATCAGCAAATAACTGCAGTAAATGTTGGAAATCTATTTATACATGCAGAGCGGAATTTAAAATAATTTTCGATTCCCTTCAAGAATCGCTTTGTGTTTAGATAGAAATTGTGATAAGATTGTACCTTTTTCAGATCTGCAATCTTTTTGCTTTTCTTTTCATTCCATCAACCTTGATTCGCCACCACAGCTGTCCAATTGTCCAGCCTCCAACGGTGATCCACACAGAGAATAAGATTGCAGCTTCTAGGGTTTTCTCTTGTGCCAGCAAAAATAATGAAAATCATATGGACCTCAAACCCTAACTATGTATTTATATAAACCCAAACGGATTCGGCCCGGTCCAATATTTAATTAATCCAATTAATTAAACCCAGTCTGTGAATTA